CCAATTAGACAAAATTATACTGGTATGGTGCTAACATTCAACGGGTAGACGTTCAGCCCCGTTTCCAGCCGCTTGGAAGTAATTGTCAGTGATTGGCCACTGCGGATTACAGTTTAAACCTTCTGGCTTTTCTTTGTGATTTTATATATTGGCTCCAAGTGTTTACCTCATTGTGGACAGCTAGCTAGTGAAAAATCGACAAAAGAAAATATGTTTATGTAAGGAATGCGGACTAGACATAAGTACCAACCTTGATGGGCCACCATTCTTTGATTATGAATGTCGTTATGCACTCTGTCTCGCCACTCCACCATGGGCACTTGCTCCTCTCCAACCACCATGGGCTGTAGTTGAAATGGAGCATACCACAAAAAAAGGCAATGATAACTTACAGCTACGTATAGTCAACAACAGCCAAGGTGATTTATGTACTTCTGATCCTTACTTGCTTGAATAGAAATTGTGAAAGTAAGTTTGAAGATAGTGTTTATAGTCGCCATGTGCTACTTTTTGCACCCTCGATGACGGCGTGTATTAAGTATGATGGAGTAGTGCCTTTAAGTAGGGTCAGCACTTGACATTATGCATATGTTTAAATTGTGTGCGTGGTGTACATAATTTGAGCAGTGAGTTCTTGGAAAAGGGCCATACCAGGGCCAATCAGTCATTATTGCTGTAGGTCGTGTTACCTGCGCTTGTTCAAGTAGTTGTATGAACGGGAGGTTTCTCAATGGGAGGTTTCTCAATCCCGCTGCCGGCCATGGTCTATTTACTGGAGGTGGTGGCTGTAGTCGTGCTGCCGGGGCTTGTCCAGGCTGTTGCTGATGTTCTATTGCCCGAAATTGTACAGGTTGTCCAGGTTGTCTAGGTAGTATCGCTCGTCGATTTAGGTTTTCCCCACGTTCTGCATCTCTCTCTCGTATCCTATTTCCATGTACTGGAGGTTGTAGCTGTAGTCGTGCTGCTGGGGCTTGTCCAGGTTGTTGCCGTGGTTCTAGTACCCGCACTTGTGGAGGTTGTCTAGGTTGTCTAGGCAGTTGTATGAACGGGCGGGGTCCTCTATATCGTACCGGTGGTCCCAATGCCTCTAATCGCGCTGCCGGCCATGGTCTATATACTGGAGGAGGTAGCTGTGGTCGTGCTGCTGGGGCTTGTCCAGGTTGTTGCCGTGGTTCTAGTACCCGCACTTGTGGAGGTTGTCTAGGTTGTCTAGGCAGTTGTATGAACGGGCGGGGTCCTCTATATCGTACCGGTGGTCCCAATGCCTCCAATCGCGCTGCCGGCCATGGTCTATGTACTGGAGGTTGTAGCTGTAATCGTGCTGCCGGGGCTTGTCCACGTTGTTGCCGTGGTTCTATTACCCGATATTGTACATGTTGTCCAGGTTGTCTAGGTAGTATCGCTAGTCGATTTAGGTTTTCCCCATGTTGTGCACCTCTCTCTCGTATCCTATTTCCATGGACTGGAGGTTGTGGCTGTAGTCGTGCTGCCGGGGCTTGTCCAGGTTGTTGCCGTGGTTCTAGTACCCGCACTTGTGGAGGTTGTCCAGGTTGTCTAGGTAGTTGTATGAACGGGCGGGGTCCTCTATATCGTACCGGTGGTCCCAATGCCTCCAATCGCGCTGCCGGCCATGGTCTATATACTGGAGGAGGTAGCTGTATGCGTGCTGCCGGGGCTTGTCCAGGTTGTTGCCGTGGTTCTAGTCGGTTTAGGTTTTCCCCATGTTGGGCCTCTCTCGCTCGTATCCTATTATTGTTCTCATCGACTGTGAGTGTCCAGAAAAAACACAAAAATAATAATATGGGCTAGTAAGATCAGTCTGAATTTGAGTGCTGAACAACATTCTGCCGAAACAGCGTAGACATAGGTATAATTCATCGGATATTCCCCCCAACAAAACATTTGTAATACCTCCGGAAAACGAAACTTGGCGCGATTTTTGACTGAAAGAAAGTCGAAAAACTCACGCTTTTTCAATCCCAAACAAAGGCTGACTCAGCAACATGCAACTTTGTATTCTCAACAAGAACATCAGAGACCTAAGGTAGTCCTGAATCTCTCTCCGCTGATTCAGAGATAGCAGCTTCTTGTGGATTGTCTCTGAAGCCAGACGAAAGTGCCACTAGATCGGATTCAGTTGCAGCTACAATCTAGTCATTGGAAACTGGCACCCTAAGTCTTTCGTGTCTCTCGCACATAGTTGTAGATATCGTCAAGACATCAGTACATCCTGCATTGTATTATCGATGCAATTACTCCTTGCCACACAAGAGGCCAGAAAAGTCCAACAACAGAGAAATACAAATTCAGCCAGGTTCTACAAAATTAGAACAGGTATGCCATGGCAAAATGTATGGAGAAGCAGATCCCAAACCCACATATTTGCGATTTAAAGTGGATTTTTGATCCTTAATTCGGCCCAAATCGGATTTTAAAAAGCCAGCAGACCTGTTTCCGATGAATGGACTGTAGAACCTCGCTCCTGTGTTCTGTGGTGGAGCCACGATGTTGAGGGCAGCCACTCTCCAGGATGCAGTAATGAGAACTGTGCAACACTTTCACAGGTGCTTGGCCTCCAACCTTTTGGCCGGGTATTCTCGACATCAGTGCAACAGTCTCGGCAACATATCATGTGGATTTTCAATGGGCACCAAAGACGGCTCTCGCTCTGGAGGCTAATGAAAGACACTAGGTCACGGACATTGACGCCTGGGCACTGTTCTGAGTGAGCGAACATGGCGAAAGATAGACAGATAGAGAGAGAGAGAGAGAGAGAGAGAGAGAGAGAGAGAGAGAGAGCGAGAGCGCGAGATCAGTAGAGAACTCCTTGGTTTTGCTTTGACACGCGAAAGCACAACGCTAATGCTTCGCAGATTAGAAGCGCGTACCGTTGTGCTGGCATAAGAAAGACTGGTCTGCCTCATTGGGGTTTTGACATTCAACGACAAAACGGTCTGCCCATCAAGTAATTTCAAGTATTTGTCAGTGGTGGACCACTGCGGATAACATTTAACCCTCGAACTACCAAAATTTCAACTACCCTGGAATTACTGGAAGCATCATATGACTCCACCAGACTTAAACATACCTGCTGGGAATTATTTTTGGCAATATGTGTAGAAACAGAAGTCCTTGGGGTAAAGGGTACCTTTTAAAAGGAAAAACCAATGACAGGTCCACTATCTTGGAGACCAGCAGCTGGCAATGCGTGCAGCGAAATCGCGATATCTCGTCAGTTTACAGCAAAATAAAAGAGCTTGCCATGCTCACCCTGCATACTCTGCATTTCAGTCCTATACCCCGGAAATGGCTACTGCTGGGCCAACTTGCTGGATTTTTCTCAGCCAGGTTGGTCATTCTTTGACTGCTGTGATAAATACATTTTACGAGTGAAAGGAGAACGTGGTGTCGCGACTCATAGCAAAGGAATAATTTCCGTTCAACGTCGTGTCCGGAGACGATCTTCGTGATAAAACCTCAAGTTGCAGAGTAATTCCTGGAAACTATTTTTAGGGATTTTACTTGATTATATGGCGTCCATTCCTATCCAGCCGAAGTGCCGTCACCAGATTATTGCGGGTACAGAGGACGCCTTTTGTGTACATTTGCGAAACGAATGCCATGATAATGCCTTCACACAAAGTCGAGTCCTCTCCAATTTTCAGTTTTCCCTCCTACCTTGTGCACTTGATCATGACATGAATCATACTCTGGACAATGAATGCAAATAATGCATCTGCTCCATCTTCCAAATTGTGAATATCTCGGTAAAGCCTGCAAACTTCGGAAGCAACAACCGGTTGCGCGCGTTCGCACTTGCTTGGTGCAGCACATTTTCCACTATCTACCAACTTTGCCAGAGAACCCAGCTTCATGAAGGAATTCCTGCCCGAGTTTTGGAGATTGATGTTCTGTTATGTGTATGGCTCCATACCTTTATCACCACCATTATCCACTCACTGTACTGATACATGGTGATATTTGTGCTTTGCTTTGCCCGTAAAAGAGGCCTTCCCCGCACCATTATCCACTTGCCTCCTCGACTCCGGTCCCATATCAGACTGATCGAAAAGCCGGAGCAATTAGTATTTACTCATCTTCATCTGGAGTATATAACTATGTGTCTCTGTGTTCTGTCACTTCTAATTGCTCGCGCACAATGCATCAGGCACTCTCCTCGCATTCATCCCCAAACTCCTGCCCTAAAAATTTCAAAATCAAATGAAATGCTTTATCGGCAGCGATACTGCGCCTACTGAACATGGCTTCCGCCAGACCAACGTAAACTCAAAGGACGTTCCTAGAATATTATAACTTCCATGGCACTTCATATCGTTATAATATTATGCTCAACATGACATAATGAATCACGTTCCAAACTTAGGACAAACAAAATTGTCTGTTTCGGCAGAATTCGGGATTACGATATTGACAATAACGGCACGTGAAATGTGCATATTAGCGTGTCCATACGTACAAATCACCACCTTCATGGTCCCCAATCTCCTTGCTCCCAAAGATATTCCTCTTCACGTTATTCACGTGTGGTTCTAAGCCAAATTCGCCCTTTTATTGATGCCTATGGTATGTGGAGTCATATGATGCCGCGCGGTTGTTCTAGGTAGCACCCCCTGGCATTTCGGAACTGTACTAAATTTGTGAAAACAAAACCCACTGCCATTAACAAAATTCAAAATAAATAAAAGTCAAAAAATCTGGGGAGATTCTAAGCCCCCATATAACAGCAACCCCATTTTGAAATTCGCAAATGCATCATATCCCTTCGATAGGCATCTATTTGCCTCTCGAGGATCCGTGAAATAAAAATCAATCGATCAAAAAAAATATATGATGCCTCCGGTAGTTCTAGGGTTAAATCTTGAGCCTTTTCTTTGGCTCTCAGTACGAGTTGGTCTGTGGATAGCTAGCTGGTTGACAAAGAAAATCGTCACAAGAAAAGATGTTAACGTAAAGAATTCGGATAAGACATAAGAACCAACCTTCCTCCTCATCTGCGTCGTTGGGGTCCAGATTCCCCATTTGCACATCTTCATCCGCCATGTTCTGCAGTGAAAATGGAACCCGCTACAAAAGAAGCAATGCTGACTTATGTCTATTAAACAGCAGCACTACTCAAATGTGACTTTTGTAGTTCGGATCGTTACTGGTTTGAACGCAACACATTTGAAAGTAAGTTTCAAGACAGCTTTCCGTCACCGCGGTGAGCTACCGTTTCGATGTCGGCGTGTATCAAGTAGCATCGAGTAGTACCTTTACGTATCTGAACGTATGAATGTGTAAGTATTGTTTGTGATGCGTATATAATATGGGGAGCGAGTTAATGACCAATCCGTTCATTCCCGAGTCACAGAGAATGCAAAGTGCCATTGACAGACCTTAGAACATAGCAAAACCATCGGCGGACAATCAGGATAACCGTTTATTTTCATGCCGCATGACAATCTTCAGACAATTGAAAATCGGACGGTTCTACTCAGTAATACTCACATAGTCTTATAAAAACCACGACACGACTTTGCACAGCTTGTTCACCTCTCAGCAGACCTGGAGAGGCGCCACGCAGTCACGGCAGGTGTTCATTGACTGACTGCACGAGTGGGGCCGTACGTTGAAAGTGGTTTTTGATCCGTGGTTTTTGATCCGACCAAATCCAACGCCATGACAGCCACCATCAGACGCGCAGCGTCGGCTGAGACCTGAACTCACTCCTATTCCGTGACACACTGGTACCCGAGATAACACTGGTACCGTAGACAACCAGCTTTTCCCTCCTTGGTGTGAAGGTGGATAAGTTGACCTTTACCGCTCGCATACGCTCCGTGGCCACACGGGTATGCCAACGGCTCGGGGTGCTAAACAGAGCCGCCCCAACACCAACCCCGCTGGCAGGATTACCAGAACGAGGCGTTCATACGACCAGTCATGAAGTATGCGCCTCTCGTGTTGATGGAAGCTGCGCAGATTCACCTCCGGCGAATGAGCAATGTTCAGCGCCGTGCACTTCAGGTCATTGACCCTGGCGCACACCTACCAAGCTTGGCCATCCGCCGTACTGTGGCCTTGCTTGGTTCTAAAAGCTGCATTACCTGACCGGTTCTCCGAATTTGCTCTCCGTATTGCCACCACGCCAATTCCGCTCCTCCTGGCCCAGAACTCGAGGCGAGCATGGTATTGTACTGTCATTGGCCATGGCCACTAGCTCCAAAACCTGCTGCCTGCATCCGCCCTGCTGGCACTGAAACGCTTGTTCCAACACTGCAGCAACAGTGAATGCAACTCCCTCCCCGCCGCTCGACTTATCTCCCCCCCCCCCCACACACACACAAAGGGAATGCAATCATTCAAAACGAACGTGTGTCCCATCTGCGAAGCGCAAACTGACTCTGGCCAGTTGACTCCATATGAACAATATTATGGTTTCGTGTACATAGCACCATGGTTTACCCCGTACACTCGCTGTAAGGGGCCGTTTACATGAGAAAAATAAGCCCGGGCTTATTGGCCTTGGGCTTATTTTCCGACCGTTTACATGACGGTTGTACGGGGCTGAGTTCAGGTGAGTGACTGCGAGTTCTGCGCGCATTTTATTTTTCAAATCGCACATGAAGGCAGTGGTAAATGTTCGTGTCTGATGCAATTTGGATCAAGAAGTGCCGGCTCAGGTTTCTACTGACTTTACAATTGACACTTATTTTTCGAGAAGGTGAAGGATGGGCTAGGACCTTCCACTGGACAAAAATCAGAAGAAAACATACCAAGAAATAAATAAAAGAGAAGCACTGTCCACGGCCACATTCTCTCAGGTTCACGAGGCAAAATCGAAAAATACGAAAAACTCGCTTATAAGCCCAGGGCTTATATTCTTGACCGTTTACACGACAAAAAAAGCCCTGGGGGTTGGATAAGCTCGGGGGACAAGGGTAGGGCTAGTTCAGCTCAGGCGAGCTGAATATGCCCGGCTGACCATTTAAACGCGCGCTTTAAAATGATTGGGTGACAGGTCAAGGCGGGCTTTTCGTAAGTCTAGGGTGAATAAGCCCGGGCTTATTTTTCTCATGTAAACGGCCCCTTACTTTCTTGCAATATTGCTGACCAGTGCATGCCCATATTTTGTTTCTTGGTGCGCGGTTTTTGGCGTGATGCGGAGACCTCAGGTCAGCAACGCCATCAATGCTCCACCATTACTGTTTCCTCTCGGTGCAGGCTTATACTAGTCTCCGTCACACTGTCTTCATTTTTTGTTTTCGAGCTGGGCTTGTACACATAGTGAAAAATAAATGATAATATATTTTTGCAATTTCAAATTTGGACTTCACGGAGAATTTCAACGTTTTAGGAAATAATAAATTAGAGGAAATTAGAGGCCACATGCCACGTACTGCTCTTTTCTCTCCGAAACTCAACACTTGCAAGCCAGATATGAAAGAAGGAAAAACCATCAGTCACACCACCGGGACTCGAACCAGGGACCTTTCTATTCGCGAGCAATGCTCTAACCAACTGAGCTACAGTATGACTCTTATCCACAGTGATAGTAAATTAATTAATCAATCCTTCTTCGATCAGTCCATATCTGGCTTGCATCATACTGGCAAGTGGAGAGAAAAGAGCAGTACGTGACATGTGGCCTCTAATTTCCTCTAATTTATTATTATAATTTATATTATTTAAAGATGAGAAGAAACACATGAGAACGAGTTATACAACAACTATCCACGACTATAACAAGATGATAAACAGTCAGAAAGTGTGATAAAAGGGCACAAAACTGACAGACTACTGAGCCAATCAGAGACCCGAGATCTAGCTCTAATACATCTCTAGTGCGCAAACCAACAGCCTTCCAACTTTGAAGGTTTATGGTTACGTAGCACCGAAGAGGATGTTTAAAACTGGTCTCGTCATCGTCCTGTAACAGTCGGCATTCTTTGTTGCCGAGGGACTTAGCTTGTGCACATTTTCGCTGCGCTCACCTTCCCCTCTTTGGTCCTACGTAGCCATGAACCTTCCAAGTTGGAAGGCTGTTCGTTTGTGCACTGGAGATATGTTAGAGCTAGGTCTCGGATCGCTGAATGTCTCAGTAGCTTGTCACTTTTGTGCCCTATTATCGCACTTTCTGACAGTTTATCATCTTGTTACAGTCGGTGATAGTTGCTGCATAACTCGTTCTCATGTGTTTTTCAAACTCAGCTAGAGAGCCAAGGATTAAAATTAAAACAGAGGACCAAAATTTACACGTTATCCGTTTTGTCCAACACTAACGGTTATAAGCAAAATACTGTTGAGTCACAATGTGTTTCATGTGTTTCTTCTCTTTTTTACATTACTGGCTGATGCTCAATATCCGAGTTTAATTTTTTATTATTATTTTTAAAAGAGGTTGGAGGCGGATAATACTTTAAAAACGATTGTAAGTTTTCGGTTGCAAGAATCCACGCAAACACACATCCAGTCACAATATGGCACTTGACTAAAAAAAGTATCCGATCGTTTTCGGTCACTTCTCATCAAGGATTTTGCAGGGAATGGCTTGTTGTTGTTGATTTTTTATTTTACTTCGCAAGGCCAAAGCTGCTCAAGCTGGAAAGACTAAATCTTCTATAGCGTAAAGATAGTGAGATAACAATAGTCGTGAGAAGGTGGAAAAATATCAAGTTCAGAACGATACAAAACTCGAAGGAAAATTATAATAGTGAGAACAACATGAACAGCACATTAAGTCACATTATTAACACCTCGACGAGGAGTACTTGTAACACCAAAAAATTGTTGCGACAACACATTTTTTTATTATTATTTTTAAAAGAGGTTGGAGGCGGATAATACTTTAAAAACGATTGTAAGTTTTCGGTTGCAAGAATCCACGCAAACACACATCCAGTCACAATATGGCACTTGACTAAAAAAAGTATCCGATCGTTTTCGGTCACTTCTCATCAAGGATTTTGCAGGGAATGGCTTGTTGTTGTTGATTTTTTATTTTACTTCGCAAGGCCAAAGCTGCTCAAGCTGGAAAGACTAAATCTTCTATAGCGTAAAGATAGTGAGATAACAATAGTCGTGAGAAGGTGGAAAAATATCAAGTTCAGAACGATACAAAACTCGAAGGAAAATTATAATAGTGAGAACAACATGAACAGCACATTAAGTCACATTATTAACACATCAACGAGGAGTACTTGTAACACCAAACAATTGTTGCGACAACACATTTTCTTTCTGTAGGCAAAGTTCAGGATCTAATTTACGGATATACAAATCTTCTAACACCGCCAAATGCAATGCTGGTACCAGTTACTAGTGGCGTACATCAGGGCGCTATTCTATGCCCTGTGCTCTTCAATATGTGCAGAAGCTCTTTCCTGCAAGCTGCCGATGTTCGCGGACGACATGACCCTGTATGCCAGTTGAAGGCCGCCAGATGAAGCTGTCGACGCCGTCAACAAGGTACTTTCAGTGCTTGGTCTAGATCTTGCGGGCCTAGGGTTGTCAGTCAACTCTGTCAAAAATGTCTCTATGGTCAGTTCTAAACTCCCCCCGCACCTGTCTGTTCCTGTGATACTTAACAATCAAGTATTGACCCGCGTTGCCAGCACCCGAATCCTGGGGTCATCATTGATGACCGCCTAACGTGGTCGCCTCCCAATGACTTTGTAATTCGCAAAACAGGTGCTACGGTTGGCGCTCTTCGTCGGTCCTTTCGGCAACAGAGCAGGAAGGCCAGGAGACAATTTATTGTATCAGTCAGTCTACCTGATCTTTTGTACTGTTGTTCGTGTTTTGTATTGAAGCTGTCCGCTAAGGACCACCAAAGGCTCTCTACTTTGTTCCGCCGTGCTGTGCGAGCTGCCTGTGGTGCAAAGTCACAGGACGACATCACACCATTATTGACAACATTGGCGTTTTATCCATTTGAACCCTATGATTCTCATCTTTGCCCAGTTTATTCATAGAAATCATATCATCATCCCACTGCCTACCCTAATGGAATTATTTCCACCGATCACAGCACGCCTTAGAGTTAGAAGCCACTCTAATCCTTCCACTTCCATATCTAAGCACCGGACAATGATAGAGTAAATTCTTTTTCTAATCGTGCCGCGATTTTCTTTAATACACTGCCTGCCGAGTGGCGTAGACACCACCGTACCTCTACATTTGCAAACCAACTCAGGGATCTTTTTAAAGACCCAGTGGCGTTTAAGAAGTATTTTGACCTTCTTTTTTGAATCTGTTGAGTTTCTCGATCGTCTTGATAGTTCTTGTACTAAGCTTGAAGTCGACTTCGTGTTTGATTACTGTACTGCTTGATGTCTGGATTCCAATATTTTTCTATTTTTTTCTTTTCTTTTCCTTTCCACTTATCTCGTTGTCGGCCCTCTTCAGAGTTGTGTATATCACTGTTGAGCCATCGGATAAGAAATAAAAAAATACTACTAAAAAGCGAGAGCAATAACGAATGCGTGTGCTAACAATAAACTTGCAAATGGAACAAATGAACGAACAAGAGAGAGAAAGAAGGAATGACAAAGTGATAACATATAACAGTAGTACATTTCATCTAGAGCATTAACGGCCAAGCTTGGCCGCACCAACCACGACACGTTACTTGAGCAATATCAACCCAATTATACGATCTTTCTGTACACACAAATTAGGCTTTGGTGAACTCACAGGAGTGAACACTTCCGTGCTCAACGCAATCCATGTTCGTTAATCACAGTCGAGAAATGTTTTTTTATTCCCGTAGCTATGCAGAAGACGTTACTTCAGTAACGCCTGGCGCTAGCCAGGGTCCACACAGCTTTAATTCCCGTAGCTGTGCAGAAGACGTTACTTCAGTAACGTTTGGCGCTAGCCAGGGTCCACACAATTTTGGTATTTGTTTGTTTGTGTGTTTGTTTGTTTGTTTGTGTCACGTCTGGCGCTATCCCGTATCTGACGGCAAAAAATCATAGGGATGTTATAAATTTTCCAATTCTCCGATTTTTTTCAGGCATATCCTGAGATTCGAACCCGCACTATCGCCCTACATGCATTCCCCATACACTTATTTATTTATTTATTTATTCAACATCTTATGGCTTCCGATGGCAGCCAAAACGGGAAGATGTGGGTGATAGCCAAGCATGGTAAAAGAAGGAGAAGATTATATACATGAAAAGGAAACAGCCGAAAAGTTATATTGAT